GAGGCAAATGCCAGTTTATTCAGGCTTTGCTTAGGCTCACGGTTGGGCCCAGTGTAAAGATTTTAAGGCTGCTATAAGAGGGCTCAATTTAAGCTGACATAAATGATCAACATTTTTACTTAGATTTTTTAAAAACTGATCAAGACAGCTGGCTGGTGGCAAAAAGTTGTGTGGCAGTGTAATCTCTTCTGAGCTAAAACTGAATGGCACCCTCTGAAAACATAGACAGCAAATTGCTAACAATAAATCAAGGCAAGCTCAAATATATTCTGAAATTCAGGCTCTCTCTTACAAGGTTATGTTTTTAGATCTAATGCAGCTGAGCAGGAAGAAATGGATTATTTTTTGGTGGACTTAAATACATTAGGAAACTACTAAACCACACAAACTAAACCATACATTAGGAAACTGTAAACCAATGCCAGGGTGAGAGGAAAAGGAGCTAGCAACACTAGATGCTGCTCATGATTGTATTTATTAACTTCTTACGTAATACTTAACTTACGTAAGAGAAAGGAGAAAGCAGAACTAAGAATAAAGTTGATAATCAAGCTATCCAATACATCTGTGCTGGTCAATCCTGTTAGAATGCGTCTCATAACTTCAAGAGACAAAATGGGTGAGGTAATATCTTTTATTGGACCAACTTCTGTCAGTGAGAGAGACAAGCTTTTGAGTTTACACAGAGCTCTTCTTCGGGTCTGGGAAAGGTACTCAGAGTGTCACAGCTAAATACAAGATCAAACAGATTGTCCTAACTACTTATGCTAAACATATTGTAAGGGACCATTCAAGGTGAAGTGACAGACAGGTCGAATTTGGATACTTCTATTCCTGAGCATCCATGGGCAAACAGAACCCTTTGTGTTTACATTTGCCCAAGACATAGCTACTTCTATATATTTTTCCTCCAGCTTGCCCTGCCAGAGAGGCAGAGAAGGAGTTTCCAATCTAGAGTGTTTGATGGTAAAATGCTTGCAGAACAGATGTTCATTGGCAAACTGTTCCTATTTTTTATTCTTCTATATAAAACCTATACTGTATGGACAGTATGTGCATTATTTTTGCATAGCTCATGGTGCCTTTATAGTAATACTGATCAGGAAACCAAGGCAACCAGGAGACAGAGGTGTAAATGTAAGGCAAGTATAAGACTGATTTTTCCCCCATACTGACTGACCTTGAAGCAATGTTTCAAATATAATCAGCATGAACATATCACATAAGCACATTTTATTGCTACTGATTCATTTCCACTTCTGTTGCAAAAATAAATACCTCATGAGAAATCTGTACGTTGCATATTGTCATTTGATGGCAATTTTTCATCCTTTCAGTTGTTCACACCAGTAAGGGTTTTCTGGGGGTGGGGTAAGGGGAAAGAGGGGTGAGAAATGAGTGAGAAAATTGATGACAGTGCCAATATCCAGAGTCGTGTCCTATAAAGAGAGGGAAGAAAATAAAATCTATATTAATCTCGCGACTGGTAACTCAAGCTTCTTGGCAGATAAGAGACATAGAAATGATTTGCCAGAAATGCAGACAAGCAACACAAATGTTTATGCTGCAGACTGTTTCTATTTTCTTGTATTTTTACATACAATGGGCTATGTTGTACTATATCTCCACAGCAATCACTGAAGAGTTCTTCCAGAAGCCATATGGCCTACTGATTTCTTTTTAGAAAGTTTTATTTTGATTTCTCAGTCATTTTTCAAAGTAGTCCCCCTAGTAGGTAAATAAAATGTATTTTTTTGTTTAACTTGTCCATGCATAGGACTTGGTCAGCAAAACATCAGCCTCTGAATAGCTCAGAGATATGCTAAGGGCTAAAATGGTCAAGAAGTGTGGAAACCAGGGAGACAAAGAGAGAAGCATAATTCTCCTGTTCTGTCTCTTCCACTAAAATGGTCTGTGTAGCTGCTGGTACCAATATCCTTCTTGATATTTTCATAGTTAGCTCATTCACTTTTGCACCTGTACAAAAACACAGTATCACTTACAAATGCAAAAAACACATGTGATCCTACAAATGTATTTCATTTACAATGCACATATCAATTATGATTTTTCTTTATTTGATACACTAACCCTTCTTTTAGGCATGGATAATTAAATGTAGTAGTGCATTCTGATTTATGAAATTACCACCCGATGAAGTGGGTTTTAGCCCACGAAAGTAGGCAGGTATCTTTAAAAAAAAAAAATCTCCCTTTTACTCTCCTCTTCTTTCATCTAAGTAGTTGCAAGAATTCAGTCTGTCAGTAATTCTCATTAAAATGCAGCCTAAAGTAGACTTGCCTACAAAATTCAAATATAAAAGGAATTTATATTAATGATATTACTCACAATGTGTACACATTATTTACATAATCTGATCATGAATGCAAGCACTTTGTATTGTAATGTCAATAGCTATACATCATGTAAATCCATGCTTGTGTGTGTGTTTTAAAACAGATTAATCTACAGACAGTAGTGCCTGAAGCAAATACTCACCAGCAACTACACACCACACAACAAAACCACTAACTCAGGAACCAATCCCTGCAACAAACCCCATTGCCAACTCTGTCCGCATATCTATTCAAGGAACACCATCATAGGACCTAATCACATCAGCCACACCATCAAGTGCTCATTCACCTGCACATCTACCAATGTGATATATGCCATCATGTGCCAGCAATGCCCCTCTGCCATGTACATTGGCCAAACCGGACAGTCTCTATGCGAAAGAATAATGGACACAAATCAGACATCAAAAATTGTAACATTCAAAAACCAGCAGGAGAGCACTTCAATCTCCCTGGAAACTTAATAACAGACTTAAAAGTAGCATCTCTTCAACAAAAAAATTCAAAAACAGACTTCAACGAGAAACTGCAGAACTGAAATTAATTTGCAAACTGGACACCATCAAATTAGGCCTGAATAGAGTGGGAGTGGCTGGGTCACTACAAAAAGTAAAAAGAACGAGGAGTACTTGTGGCACCTTAGAGACTAACAAATTTAAAGTAATTTTCCCTCTGTTAATATTCACCCCTTTTTGTCAGCTGTTGAGAATAGGCCACTTCCACCTTGATTGAATTGGCCTCGTTAGCGCTGACCCCCCCCCACACACACACTTGGTACGGCTTTTCATATGCTGCAATATATATACTGCCTACTGTATTTTTCACTCCATGCATCCGATGAAGTGGGTTTTAGCCCACGAAAGCTTATGCCCAAATAAGTTTGTTAGTCTCTAAGGTGCCACAAGGACTCCTCGTTGTTTTTGACATGGTAGTATAACAGATCACTGATGGGAGCTAGCATGGCATTTTCCAAATGAAAACGGGCCGAATCTTCCCTTTCATAAAACTTTAAACAAACAGGGGGACTGGATAGCTCAGAGATATGATGGGTGAGAGTTTCCAATCTATGTCATTTGACTAAACGGTGGTGGCTCAGTCGTGATGCCTGTTTGAAAATTAGTTTGCTGGTCTCAGAATAAATTTCTGGCAGACAACTCTTGTTTCACAACCCACCACTGTACCTTGCTGGCAATCTCAGCAGAAAGCCCCAGACCGGGATGGAACTTTCCTCCAACTTTAGTGGTCACTTCCAGCTCACTGCAGGGAAAACTTTGGCTGCTGGTATCGGTATCTTTTCTATGGGGAGATGCCAATTTCTAATGCCCCCCATCAAGTACCTTTCAGAAAAGCTAAACTTCTCAGCAACAAGATTTGTCTTATCTCAATGATCCCTTTGATTGGAACCTTTCCCTTCATTTGTAAAAATAAAACTAAAAAATGAAATTGGTTTTTGTTCTGGTTTTGTTTTACTGAGATCAGACGAACCAAGCAGCATTCTGTAGAGATTAATTTCTTCACCCCAAGGTGCTGCAAAACCTGTCCCCTTCTGAGACATTTCTCTTAGACCTGGAGCAAGTTATGTGCAAAGATGAGTGCAGAGAGGTACACATTTATTCCCAATAACCAGCCTATTCATTTTTAACATCTGGAGTAAACCAAATCTTGCCCTGTGATGTGCAAATGCATTGGCGGGTAGAGAACTTAAGGAGTTCTCCTCCAGAGCAAAACAATAGCGCAGCAGTACAGCATTGCTGTGCAACTGTCAGGAGAATTCAGAGGGCACAGCAGAACATTTTGGCTGGCTGGTCCCCTATTCTTTCAAGATTATGATCTCTTGCAAGGGTTTGGACTGCACAGCATGGGAGTATATGAAGCAATAGGTGTGAAAAGGATAGCCTTCTAATTAAGGCAGTGCACTAGAACTCAGGAGAGCACTCTTCAATTCCCAACTCTGCCAAAGACTTCTGGACCACCTGGGATAAATAAAAGTAGTTCTATTAACTTGGATCTTGCCTCAGTCCCTTTTCTTCAAATTAGCAATAATGTAACTCAGATGCTCAGATAGTGGTGATGAGGGACTAAGGATGTGGAATATGTAGCTTTTGCAGGTGGGGAAAAAAATCTTCCCTCTTCAAAACAGAACATCAATACATTTAACTAGTGCACAATCACAGTGTGGCTGACAGCCAGGTGGCTTCATAAAGCAGATCAGGGTTACTGACTGCTCTTTTCTCAAATATAGATTTTAATGGAAAAACTAAAAAAGCAAGCATTGCTGGGGTTCAAAGAAGGCCAAGGTACTTTCTAAACACTAAAAGGCACCTGTTACAGATTAGATTCATTTAAAGGCTTGCTCATTTTCATTTCTAAAATCTCCATTTAAATTGCATTTATTTCCTCAGGGGTCTATTGTGGTAGGTACATGCTATTTCCACTAATGGCATTAACGGGAGCTGTGGGTGTAGCCACAGCAGAATATAGCCCTAAATCTTTTCATGTTAAAAGAGCACTTTTTTAAAATGTGGATGATTGTTGTCAGGTACCTTGAGACACTTGTGTGTAAAAAGGCTCTCTGCAGGTTTATTTTTGTATTGTATTTTCTATGTGAGGCATGAGCTAACAATTTGTCACGTGTCTTTCTAGGAGCAGCTGAAGGCTTTGGACTGGGAAATAAACACATTTGTGGATTATATGTTTGGGCCTCGAGGTAAGTGTGTTTTTCAGGACTCAAAATAATTGATCTTTTCATGTGCAGACAAAAACTGTTTGAATCATCTTCAGATGCAACATAATAATTGAAAATAAGAAAAGCAGTTGCTTTCCTGAAGACAGTGAACAGCATGTTCAAAGCTGACTTGAAATTTTGAATGCCTCACTGCAAACACCAGAAGGAGGCCAGGCTGGATTTTCTGAAAGTGCTGAGCACCCACCTTCTGGAAAATCAAGGCTTGGAGTCTCCTGGATTGTCCTGGAGTCTCTAGGAATTAAAGATTATGTCAGGTGATGAAACCTCCAGGAATATGTCCAGCCAAAACTGGCAACCCTATCAAGCCCCTGTGAGGTGTCTCAAGTGGGGCATTCCAGAACTGTCTCCCAAAATCACCAGTCAGTTATTTAAGAAAAAAGTCTTTAGCACATAATAGTTTAGAAAGAAAAAAGAAAACAAAAATCTGTTGAAAACTCAGGAACTCTAAATTACGGTGTCAAAAACAAACTTAATTCTATCTTATCCTCTAGCTAATCCCACACCACTTGTTGACACCCAGATATATCACATTACTACATCATCATCTGCATTTCCATTCTAGCCCACAAATAATACCCAAAGTGTTGCACTACAAACCATTTCTCCACCTATCACATTTGGGCTACTGACCCCAATACAAAGTTTCCTTCACTTCAGCCACCTAATATGTTGGCTATATACGTAGGGTAAGCAGGGGTGAAAGGCACCTTCCTTCCACCCCAGACACATCCTACGACCAACCTGGCCCAGAGATAACTAAATCTGGAGGAAAATAATGATTATAGAATAAACAGAAGAACATACTTCTGTTACTGGCAGCCCTCCTTAAGTATTCGCAGAATATGTAGCTGTGTTTTCATGCTCTCAGATGCTATGGTAATGAAAGCCAGATAAACACAAATCAGACACTACATATCTGAGGTTTTCCTGTCTCATTAATACTTGCATGGTATTGGTCACTCAGGTTATAGCTCCTCAAAAATATGTATACTAATATGAGCTGGTAAAAATTTTTCTTACAGGGGGAAGGATAGCTCAGTGGTTTGAGCATTGGCCTGCTAAACCTAGGGTTGTGAGTTCAGTCCTTGATGGGGCTACTGAGGGATCTGGGGCAAAATCAGTACTTGGTCCTGCTAGTGAAGGCAGGGGGCTGGACTCTGGACTCTATGGCCTTTCAAGGTCTCTTCCAGTTCTAGGAGATGGGATATCTCCATTAATTTATATTTATTTTAACTGTTTTCCATCAGAAAATGCCAACACGGCAAAATCACAACATTTTGTGAAAATGTGTGCATTTGGTCTGAAGTTTCATGGAAATTATTGAGATGTTTGGCTTCAATAAAGTCAAAATGTTTCATTTTCACTTTGTTTTGATTTGTCATATTATTTATAATAAAAACTCAAAAAAACCCACATTTTGATAAAGTCAAAACAAAATAAATATTTTGTTTCATGAAAAATTCTAAGATTTTGACTTTTCATCCTGAATCAGTATGAAACCAGACTTCAAAATCTCCAAATTTTCTGCACAAAGGAAATTCCATTTTTTGACCAGCTGTAATAATAACCCCATCTTCATGTGGTTCACCTAGTTAACAAAGGGACTAATCCTGAGAGATGCAGACTGCAGTGAAAGTTAAGGGTATCTAGAACCCCCCAGGATGAGATCCAAAATATCAGCAAACCTGGTGCAAATTCAGAGGTCGCTTCTTTCATACCCTTTCTGGTCTTTGGCTACTTGCTCTAGCTATCACCTGAGGAGGTCAGACTTGCTTCCTGAATCAAAATATAAAGACTTACAGCATAGTGTAATTGTAAAGTATAAATTATATTATAATACGTTTTCAGATGCCTCATGCTTGCATTTCATCGGGTTAACATTCTTCAAATCTTAACATTTCTTCCTTAAAGGGAAAATTGTTATAAGGTTCTTAAAAACTGGAAAGTAGTATTTTTTTTTTTTATTCCTTTGGGAATGGCAATCACCTCCATCAACTGTGAAGCATATAGGATCTTTGCAAAACTTTGGCTTGCACAATTTCTGGATTTCTACCTGAATCTATTTTAAAAATGAATAGAATGGCTTCCTAGAAAATACTTGTAAAATAGGCCTTTAATACTAGCAAGCTAGTGCAGTCCAATAACCATGTGTGTGAAAGTTTTGTTCCTTTTTACATATATAAAGGCTATGCCCTTTCATCCTTCTCTTTCCAACGCCTCCAGAGCCAACTCTTTGAGATGGATGCATTGCAGTTAATATAACTGCATAGCAAATACTATAGCTCCACTGGGTCTTCAGAATGCGCTTCAGTAAAACAAGTACTGCCTGTGCCAACTCACTCTAAGAGATTCACGGTTGGCATTTGAAAGGCAAAGTCTCACAGAAATGACTGCCATTTGAAAGGAACTGAATATTAATAGCCCAAATCAACCAGAGAAACAAAACCTTGTGAAAACATGTGTAGCGCTCAGAGAGATGGTTCTAAAGACATTCATGCACAGACACACATCCTGAGGAACTTATTGGAGGAGAAATAAAATGGGACTTCAGTCCCTCAGCTTGGCAGGATCTAGTGTCACTCTACTTCCATGTCAGTTGCTTCAAATACTTTCCTGAGTTCACCTGTGCTCAAATGCAGGATTTCTCCTTTTCCACCATGTATTGATAAGCTGTCTCTTTCTAGTTGGGAGCAGGACCTCAGTGGCATCTTACTCTATCTCTTGGGGCTGATCTTGGTCCTTACTATGATCAATTTTCATCAATCCCACTGCTCTAAATTACATCTTTGGACACAGATTGGCACCCAAAGACACCGCAATCAGGAAAGAGTAAAGGTAGTTTACAGGCTTCCTCCTCCTTTGCTGTGTTGGATGCAGAAGGGTCAAAGCCAAAGATACAGCCCTTTGACTCGGACATATTACCCTGTGTCCTACAGATATGCTGTTAGCTGTTCTTTTTATAAATGTGCTGAGAGGCCTTCAGTTATGAATACTTCTAAGTTGAAACCATTATTTGCCTCTAAATCCCTTCAACACAGGTATCTCTCCCTGTTGTACTAGTTTAACCCAGCAGAGGGTAAGGTTACAAGTTATTTTGAAGCACCCTGTTACTGGAGGAATGCTCCCATGTTGCTATTTTGTTCTCAGCTGACAACAGGCTTACTTTTCATCTCCTTTTCCTCCCTCCCCGCTACTGACATCTGCTGGCAAGAATAGAACTGCAGTGTGTTCCAAGAGGTGCTGCAGTGAAACAACAGCCCAAGTGGTGCAATTTGACACTATATTTCTTAATTTACCTGTAGCGTTAAACTGTGCAATCGTTAGCAAGTAAGCCACTGGACGTAGCTGTGCTAGTACAATTACAACTAGAAACGAGGGCAATTACAAATTGCAAATTGTGTTTTAAAATACTCTGAGGACAATACTATCAATTCCATATTGAAAATACGATCTTGTTTGTCTATGGTCCCACGCAGTAGCATGCACTTTTACTTTAGTGGTCTGTGACTGTAGAATGACAATCCAGGATAACATGGCATCCTGTAAAATGGTTATATAGACAGATGACTCACAAAAAGTTGCTAAAGTAGATGGACTGACTCCCGAAAGAGAAGCGCTGATGAATTCTAGTGAACTTACCTAAAAAGGCTAAAATAACAAGCATTACAGACTTCTTTCTATTAGCTATTTTCCACTACTATCTGCTCTTAGTTTGACAGCAGGCTAGCCAAAATAAATGACTACTCTGTAAATCCATCTTTTTTATTTTGCTTTATTTTTAGTCAATAGTTGACAACTATTTAGTTGACAACTAGGGCAGTTCCAGGGGCAGACAACTAGGGCAGTTCCAGGGGCAGGCAAGCAGGGCAATCACCCTGAATGCCACCTTCCAGGGGGTGTTGAACTGCTGTGCCACACAGCTTTTTTCCCCCTGCTTTGCCCCCACTTGGTTGGATTTGGAGGGGTGGGATTGATGCACCAAAAGTGTTTTTTGCCCTTTATAGACCAAACATTGCTTTCTAAAAGCAATTTCCACTGGTGGTGTTGAAACTCAGTTAACACAGGGTGTGATCCTGCACTTAAAGGCAATGGAAGCTCTACCATTGATTGCAATGAGTACCATCAAGCCCCTGTGTGGCTCTATCTCCTTCTGATGGCTACATCTCACAAAGCAGTTTATATTGGCTGCAGCTTCTGAATTAACCCCCCTTTTGGCTCAAGAAGTAGAGTAATGCTTTGTTCTTATATAGCACTTTTCATCCACAGATCACAAAGCACTTTCAGAGGAGGGTTAGTATCATCACCCCCATTTTACAGAGCGGGAAACTGAGGCACAGAAAGGCAAAGTGACTTGCCCAAGGTCCTCAGAAGACCAGTAGCAGAACTGGGCATAGAACCCAAATATCTTCAGTCCCAGCCCTGTGTTCTCTATCCACTAAACTGCACAGCCATGCTTTTAGATCCAGGTCCTTAGTTCACTCCCTGTATGCCACACTGAGGTGCTTGCCCTTATTTGCTTTAGATTTTCTTTGATGTATACCAAAACAGGAAAGGCTATCTGCTCAGGACACAGTGACCATTCAGGTGTAAGGATCAAAATGGGGCTTGCTTAATTTGATTCTTTAAACAGGATTCCTCTATGCCTCTCTAGTACTGCAGGTGAATTTATTAGTTTTCATATTAAGGAGACAAGAAAAATAAAAAAAAGAAAGGATAGTGACATAGCTTTGTGATGTGGAATGACACTAGTTGCAGGAACGAGAGCCAGTGGTTGAGTTTGTTTTATTCATGTACAAAAACAAATTTAAATTGGCAACATATTGAGAGGGGATATAATTTTTGAGCTGTATGATGAAGTCATATTAACATACCCTTATATATGTATTTTGCCATTAAATATTAACAGCATCAAAAACCAGCTCCAGAAATCCAGACCCTCAGCCACTAAGAAATTCAGATTCTGCCCAGATACAAACAGGCTCCCGCTGTAAGTGACTGAGTTAGAACGCGGAATATCTAGCCACCTCTGAACATCCTGGATAAAGTCTCAGTGCCATTATTTTGCCACTGCTTCAGTGGTGTCAGGATTTCACTCCATGGCTCTGGCTCATCACTATTTTTAATTGGAAAGGAGTTAGTTTGAGATGGAATCTGAGCTTGTGCACATCTCTCTCACCACATATTGTGTTCCGGTGCTCGTGTAGTGCAGTGTCACTCACTGCTTTCGTCTGTGATTTAGTTGTTGGAATGATTCAGAACTGTCAAACTAACAGCACGTCACACTTTCCCACACAACGTAAGTGGATGAATTTGAACCTGTTTCAACATAATGGAGCACTGTGAGTCTGACAGATGGTAGGCACTAATGTTAACTTCTCTCTCTTTTTCTTATTCTTTTTGTCAAATCCATACATTTCCTACCAACACCCCCCCTAAATGATACAGTGCTGTTTTTCGTAAAAAAAATAAAATAAAAAAAAATCAAAACCAACAGCCCAGCATTTATGAGCCACCTTACTAAGAAGAAACAAGTGTGACTGTGTACACATAAGAAGAGACAGTGGGAGAAAGGAACAAGTTTCAATTTCAAGCTTCAAGAGGGAGCACTGAAAACCAATAGTAAGACTTAAAAAGTATGTTTAAGTTGCCTGACAACGCAGCCATAGGTCACTTTGTAGTTATTAAAGTGTTAGAACATAAGCTGTGCTCCTTTAGCAACAATGGGAAAACTTGCTTGCTGTGCCTAGAGTAGAAGCTGCTTTCATCACTTATCTAATTTTCCACCTTAGCTCAGCTCATCATCTGATTTCTACCAGTTACTTTTCCTCTAGTTGCAAAGGCAGTTTCTGGTTACCTTCTCACAGTCTCCTGTGGAACTCCTTTGCTCTGGAGACTGCATGCACATGTAAACTCTCTTTAGAAATCAGTCTTCCAAAGCAGGCAAGACTGGTGTTATCCAGGGCCACCTCTAGCTTTTTTGCTGCCCCAAGCAGCAAAAAAAAGT